GCCCAGGCTGGCCAGGAGCGTGTAAGCCTCCTGTCCCAACTTCTCAAGTGTCAAGTGCTGGGGTTATTGACTTGTGTCAGCATACCCAGGTACATCATTACTTTTGTTTATTTACTTCTCAACGCACAGGCCTGGTCAGGAATCAAATCTAGTCAGGTCTTTGCACTTGATTTGTTGAGCGCCCCCACCCCCCACCCGCCGCCACCGCTCCACCAAATGCCCTAGCTGTAGCACTACTTTTAGGGGCAGCAGTAGTAGGGATAAAAGAAGGGCTTCACACATACTAGATAGGCACTCTGTTGATGGCCACACCTCCAGCCCCCAACTGGTGGATTCTAGGCAAGCACTCTATCCCTGAGACACATCCCCAGCTCCTCACTGGTTGATTCTAGACAGGTGCTCTACTATTGAGCCATGTCCAAGCCCCTCACTGATGGAATCTAGGCAAATACTCTTCTACCCCATCCCTAGTCCTTTATTTTTTATTTCAAGGCAGGGTCTCACTAAGTTGTGGAAGTTGGCCTTGAAATCACTGTAGCTCAGGCTGGCCCTTGGGCTTCTGATTTTCCTGTTTCAGCTTCTCAAGTAGCCTGTTGCTATCCCCAACCCTTCAGCAGTATCCTATTTTTTTTGGCGGGGGGACAGTCTCGCTATGTAGTCCTGACTGGCCTGGAGTTGGTAGACTAGGCTGACATCTATCTCACAGACCCTGCCTGCCTGCTTCTGCCTCTTGACTGCTGAGCTCAAAGGCATGCACAGCCACATCTGGCTAGCATCCCTTTTGAAGTTCTTCACTTTCTATTTCTGTCTCTTCAACCAGCTGTGCATCACTCTGGGGGCCTCAGGCCCATTCTGCCACCACACTCACTCACTAGAAGCCTCACAAGGGATGAAGTTTTGGTCTCAAGACTTTCCTATTAATGGGGCCAGCAAGACAACTCAGCAGATTAACGTTCTTCTTTGCGACCTGAGTTTGATCCCTGGACGGAGCTGACCACAAGTTGTCCTTTTATCTCCAGCAGGTGCTGTGGCAAGCCCCGCCCCCATCATGCATACACATAAAAATAAATAAATACAAACATTTGAAAAGACTTCCCTGTTCAGCAACTCTGCAAGACAGCCTCTTCCTTCCAGATAGCCCTGGCTCGTTCCTGGCCTTTGGTGCTTCGAAAGTACCCATGTCCAAGGCTAGCGCCCCACCCCCAGCCCTGATAGAATTGATAGTAATTAGGCGGTGTCACAAACTAAAGACACCTTCAAGAAGACCCATTCCTTTCCCAGTCAGCAGGGTGTTCTGACCTGCTTGGCTTTCATAGAGGCAGATGTGGACAAATCAGCTTGGAAATTGATCAGATACAGAAGGTCCATGTTCTCCCTAAGATCTGACCATTGATGTTCAAGCATCCCTTCCAACCCAACTCCAAGCCCACATCACCTCCATTGCCTTTTTCCCCACTACCCAGATCACCAGGCCTCTTGGTCTCCCTCAGAGTCAGAGAGGCAGGGGGTGTGGCCAAGTCTGGTGGACTCCGCTGCAGTTCCTCTTTCAGGCTCAGACGCTGCCAGGGACCCTGAAGAGGGAAGACACGAGGAGGCAGGTAAAAGCCATTTTGACCTTTTTTTTTTTTTTTTCCCAACTAGTAAATATGGAGTGGTCCCTTAGGCACAGATAGAGAGCCGGGTATTTAAGCATCCCCCATTCCAGGCTTGCTGAGTCCTCTGAGGTGGAAGAGGTGGGTCACTGGACGCTCAGGAAGGAATGATGGAGCCAGGAAGCCCCGAGACCCTACAAGGCCCTAAGCAGGCTTGAATTAAGCAGGTCACAGGTCTGGACAGCTCTGTCCTAAGCCTTTGGACCTAATGACTATTGCTTCCACATCCCACTCTGCCCCTCAGCCTTCCAGTTCCCAGGCCCAGGTCCCTGTTTCCTATGCTCCTTGAACAAGCATGCAGCTCTGCTCTGGAGGTGCCCCCTTCCCGTCATTCAGAGTTCTCCAGCCAGGCCCTGATGAGGATGTGGCATGGCTAGTGCTGTCACCAGAGGGGCACAGTGGCCCAGCACCTGGAGGCTAGTCTTCGCTGCTGTGGCAACCCCAAGGGGGTATCTTAAAGTGTGTCCCTCAGAATGTTGACCTTACCAACCCTGTAAAGCTTTTGATGGAAAAGCTAAAACAGATCTCACGGCCAAGGAAGCATGGGCACCATCTGTCCACTCCCATCTCTCGTGACTTGTGATACAGGCAGAGGTTGTTAGACAGCCTGAGAAGTCCTGTGACAAGGAATCCTTTAACTCATCTTTTCCCAAGTGGTACGACCTCGAAGACATTTTTGTGTAAAACATTGCTTTCACCTATAAAATGGAGAACAGCTCTGCCTCCAAAACTCTGCCAGTGGCAACCCCCCCTTACCCTTAATACACTCCCAGGTCAGCCAACCCTCATGCTGGGGACAGAACCCCAGCCTGCTTTTAGCAACTGGTCTAGCTTTCTGCACACCTGGTACTGGTCACCCAGAAGCTCTCCACCTGTGCCCTGCAGCTTGGCAGATAAACAGCCAAAGATGGGAGGGGGGTGCTGATGTGGTACAAGGCGTGGGAAATGTTGGCAGGGTGGGTGGAAGGGACTTGGGTCCATGCTGATACCGGAGACACACTCTGTTGGCACATCCTGCAAGATCCCTTGGGGCCGGCACCAAGGTCATAGGCACGTAAATAGAGTTAAATTTAACTGTATGTAAAGTGGAGGATGGTAAGCTCATTGCAGAAAGAGAGAGAGAAAGAGAGAGAGAGAGAGACAGAGACAGATAGAGACAGAGAAACAGAGAGAGAATCAGTTACAAATCTGTGCCCCTGAACACACAGATAAGTTGTTTGACCAGCACTGACTTTAAAAAAAACAAAACAAACACCAAAAAACTAATAATTTTTTATTGCATTTTTGAAAATTTCATACAATATATTTTGATTGAGTTTAGATCCCCTCTCTATCTCACACTCCCTACTATACTCGGCCAAATTTTATGTGCTCATATCTATATTAAAGCCTCTAGGATCAAACTTGTGTCTCCCAATGCCTTTCAGTGTGGGTTCATCCACTGGAGGACCAGCACTGTCTTTTGTTGTTCAAATTATTTTTAAGACAGGGTCTCCCTGTAGCCCCAGCTAGCCTAGAACTCACTATGTAGACCAGACTGGCCTCGATCACAAAGAGATCCTCCTGCCTCTACTTCCTGAGTGCTGGGATTAAAGGCATGTGCCACCATACCGGGCATGTCATTCAGATTTTTGAGGTAGGGTCTCAACTGGTAGACCGGGCTGGCCTCAAATTTGTGATCGTCCAACTCCAGGCTCCTAAGTGCTGGGATTTTAGGCATGAAGCATCGTGCATTGCTTATAAAGCAAGACATCTTCCATACAAATCTGGCTTTTTCCTTGTGGTAAAAGTGGATGATCAGCTAGTGGGCGGGAGGCTCCCCCTTTCCACTTGGTCGCCACTGGCAGAAGCTGGAATACAAACTGTGGAAGAAGACACGCTCTTTCCCTCACTTGGTTGATTGATGCTCCTACCAGTGCTTGGGGCACATGGATGGGTCTGCTGGACTACATTCTGGACTTTCCAGGTCCTGCCATGTGCTCTCCTGGTTTCATACTTTACTATGAGTTTATTTTCAATTTTTTGGTATGTTACTAGGGCCTTGTGTGTGCTAGGTCAGTGCTCTACTGCTGAGCCATACCTCAGCCCCTCACTGGTGGATTTTAAACAAGAGCTTTACCATTGAATCATGTCCCCCAAGCCCCTCACTGGTGGAGTCTAAGCAGGTGCTCTACCACTGAGCCACGCCCCAGCCCCTCACTGGTGGAGTCTAGGCAGGTGCTCTACCCTTGGATTCTAAGCTCTCTCCCACTGGGATACATCTCCAACCTTCTTTTTACTTTTTATTTTGAGCTTACCAAGTTGACTAGACTGGTCTTGAACTCCCTCTCTAGCCAACCTGACCTTGAACTTTCGATCATTTGACCTCAGCCCCTTAAGCAGCTGGGATTCTGGGCCCGAGTCAGTATCTGTGCTTCATAATTGGTTTAGAATACTTTTTTCCAGGCTGGTGTGGTGGCGCACGCCTTTAGTCCCAACACTTTGGAGGCAGAGTCAGGTGGATCTTTGTGAGTTTGAGGCCACTCTGGTCTACATAGTGAGTTCCAGGCCAGATGGGGGCTACAAGGAGACCCTGTCTCAAAAAGACCAAAAAAAAAAAAAAAAAGAGAAAGAAAAGAAAAAAAAGAATACTTTTTCCCCAGTCTTTCAAATCACTGTTTGTCCCCTGTAGAAAATCCTGCACAGCTAGCCTGGGACGCTCCCTGCAACCAGGGTCCAGCATTCGATGCTCATGATGGCTTAAAGAACATTATAAATGGGGCCAGCAAGGTGGCTCAGTGGGCAAAGGCACTTTCTGTGTAAGCCTGGTGACCTGAGTTTGATACCTAGAACCTATGTAAAAGTGGAGGGAGAGACTTGATTCCACAAAGTTGTTCTCTGACCTCCATAATATGTGCACTGGGGCATGTACATGTCCCCCACCCATATCATATGCACACATAGTAATAATAATAAATAAAATAAAAATTTTTTAAAGTATAAATGGGTGGAGGGAAGAGAGGTAGAGAGGAAGAAAGAAAGGAAAGTAAGCTCTCTGCTTGGAGGAGAGGCATGATATACCTAGAAAAGACTCCACGAGCCCCCTCCCCCCAATTCCTCATCATGATATAACTGGATATGGTCCCCAGGGTCAGCACTCAGAGGATGGGAGAGAAACAAGAAACCAAATGGCAAAAGACAAACTCTGTTTTGGGTTGAGACAGGGTCTCAATATGTAGCCCAGGCTGACCCCAGATTTGTGGCAATCCTCCTGCCTTAACCTCCTGAGTGCTGGGATTATAGGCCCATGCCACCACATCCAGCTTAAAGACGAACTCTCTGTCTTAGGTCCGGTCCAGACAAGACACCATGCGTGTCCTGTGCCCATGGCTCCTCCTGATTCTAGGTAAGGGCTGAGGTCTAGGCGGGTACCTGGGTTTGGGGATGTCAGTGGGTAATGCAGAGAGGGTATGAATCTGGGGCAGTGGAGAGGAAATGGGGGGGCAGTATGCACAGAGACAGATGTGCTGTGCTCCTGTATCTTGGTCCTCTGTGTCTCCCTCTCACTTCAGACAGGATTCCCTATTCTTGTGAAAGTTCTCCTCACCCTCAATAACGATTTCTGTCAGTGTCATGGGTTTCAGAATACTTGGCTTTGGCTGCTGTTAAATGGATAATTGAACATCCCAATACTCTCTACGCCTGGGAGGGAGCCTGCATCTGGATTCCTTGCAAGTATAAAATCCTACCTAACAATGAGCGCCTGAAAAATGTCGTCCTGTATCAGAATTATTGGTATGACAATGTCACCAAAGACTTCATGGGGATTACCCTTTATGAGAACACAGAGTTCCAGGCTCAGTACGGAAGGGTAGCATTCCTGGGAGATTCAAAAGACAATTGTACCCTGAAAATTCACCCGATACGTGTCAATGACAGCGGTCTGGTGGGACTGAGGATGAAAACGGACAAAGAAAAATGGATGGAGGAAATTCACCTCAATGTCTCTGGTAAGGCCTTGGGGGAAGTGGTCCCTACCCCAGCAGAGGCAAGGCGGGAGGCAGGAGTCCTGAGTTGCCTGTCATCCCAAGCAAGGGATGCCAACAAGTGACTGGGGCAAGACAAGAGGGCACTGTGCTCAGTTGCTTGCTGCACACGTCCATGTCCCACCTTGGGGGTTCCCCGGCCCCTCAGCTGGCACCCATTCTGGAATTCCGGGTCTAGATTGTCAGATCTTTTCATCTCTCAAGAGACAATGCAGCTTTGGATTTTCAGATCTCCAAATGCGTTGTTAGAGACCAAGATTAATGAACGCTCCGAGGCTAGAGGACAAATGTACAGGACTCAGACATGACCCATTAAACACAGCTGGGGCCCTAGAGTTGTGGTTGGTCCATGTGATGGCTTTTCTTTTCAGAGGTCAGTGCTAGGCAATGTGTAAGCTGGTCCGGGGAAACCGCAGGTCCATCCCACTGAAGGGATCCTGTGCTTGGCTGATGCCAATAGAGCTGTTAACAAACATAAGCATGAAACCAAAGATAAATAATACATGTGGAACTAAATAGAAAAAAATTCATCTGGGCTGATCCTGAGGCCATTTAGAAAGTAAACCAAAGTAAGGAAGTGAAAAATGAAACTAAGTATCAAATTCAGTTTCCTGGCAGGCTCAGTGTCTCTAAGGCCTGTCACAGACTAGTTTTCAAAACGTAGAAAGACCTTGTAAGCAATGGCTCCACAGTCATTGGAAAGAGGATACCTGAAGCTAGGGGTAGAAGGCTAGTTCATGCCCAGACTACAGTTCCTAGGGGTGGAAGGCTAGTCCATTCCACAGTCCCCAGCTCCCAGGGGTGGGAGGCTTGTCCACACTCCATCCACTGCTCCCAGATTCCAGCTTCCTCTTTTTTTTTTTTTTTTTTTTTTTTTTTTTCAGAAGGGCTGGAAAGTCATCATGATCTCCAGGCCCAAACTGCACTATCCAAACGGAAGAGGCCACATGGAATCCGTGAGATAGGTGCTAGCTGCTGCCCAAGTAGAGGGAGGTACCTTGTCCACTGTATCGGCACAGATCAGGCCTGTCGCTACTTTATGCCTTCTTTCCTTATAGAAATGGCATTTGTAAGCTTGTACTTATGACACCTTTTAGCAAAGATCCAAGAATCAGTTGTACAAAACCTCTACCCATCAGGATTGCTCAGCAGCCTCCCTGACCTCATTTCTTCGCAGAGTCGCCCTTCCCACCTTACATCCGACTCCCACCAGAAATCAAGGAATCCCAGACAGTTACTCTGACCTGTGGGCTGAATTTCACATGCTTTGGGTACCACATCCAATTGCAGTGGTCCTTGAAAGGGCCCACAGTCACCTCCACCTCCCCTTTCCTCACTAGCGTCTATACTGAGAGCAAGCTCACCTTCCAACCACAGTGGACGGACCATGGGAAGAATGTGACATGCCAGGTCAGGAACTCTACCCAAGTACTCTCTGAGAACACAGTGCGGCTGGATGTTAAGCGTGAGTCTCTGTGGGAAGGGCATCATCTTTGTCACCTTCTCTCCCTAAACCCCATTGGGCCCCACCAAGGGTTAGAGGAGCCTATGTCCATAGAAGGTTCAGCTGTTAGTCACCTGCTGCAGGGGATGGCGCAGGCTCTCCCACTGTCTCCCTTTTCAGTTCTGTGTCTCAGGACACAGATTCATTTTAGTCTCTGTCTTGACCTAGTAGAATAAAACAGTCTAAGCTGGGTGTGATGGTGAAGACCTATAATCTTAGCACTCAGGAGTCCAAGACAGAGAGATGTCGAATTTGAGGTCAGCCTGGGTTAGTGAGACCTGGTCTCCAAAAACTCAGGGCTGAGATGTAACCCATTGGCACCGGAGGCCCTGGGTCAACTTCTAGCACCACTAAATCAGTCAATCAGCCAATCAATTCTTCAGCCATTGCATGCTTTGAGGATCATCTGGTTAGGCCTTTTTGTTTTCCATTGAGAAGAAAAGTTTTACATCACTGTTTCATGCTTCATTCATTCATTCAATAAATATTTGCTGTGAACCAATTAGGTGCCAGATCTTATCTTGGATGTCAATTTGCGTGAGAAGGGATATGACACTGAGCCGGTTTTTGCCTGTATGGAACAAGTGTTGCCCAGGGGTACATAAAAAGTAGATTAACCTGGGGCAGGGGGAGGCTCTGAATTTGAGTGGGAAATGTTGCATAAAATTTTAAAAGCTCAATAAAAAAAATAGATTAACCAAGAAATACAGATCAGGAGTGGCAGCAGAAGATGTGTGCATTAAGAGAGAGAGGGCTGAGGAGACAGTTCAGTGCTTGCTTAGGCAAGCTAATAAACCCCTTCTGTTGTTTTAATAAAAAGTGATTTGCATTTGATCCCCAGATCCTACATAATATTAGTTGACTGTGATGGTATGTGCCTGTAATCTCAGTGCTGCGGAGGCAGAAACAGGTGGATCCGTGGGAGTCACTGGCCAAAAGCCCAGACTAATTGATGAGTACCAAATCAATGAGAGACCTTATTTCAAAGCAATAAACAAAAAAGAGAGAGAAAAAACAAGGTAGACAGCTCTTGAGGTATAACACCCAAGAGATGGTCCTCTTCTCTCTCTCTCTCTCTCTCTCTCTCTCTCTCTCTCTCTCTCTCTCTCTGTAACAGCATAAAGAAAGCAGGGTTAAGGTGGGAGTGATGGATGTAGACATCACTGAAGAAGACAAAACATAGGCTGATATGAAGAGAGGGAGAGTTTGGGCAGGTAAAGATTCCAGGAGAAGAAAGAGCAAGTGCAAAGGTCCTGAGGTGGAGGCATAGTGTGTCTATGGGAGAGCCAGGAGGCAGAGAAGATGACATTCATTGAGAGGCTAATGGTAGGAGAGGAAGGAAGTGCAGGGGGAGGGACATTGGGTCTCCTGGGCTGCAGGAGCTCACTGGATAGCTTTAAGCAGACAGTGACAGGCTCTGGTGGATAATACTAGGCATGTTGCTGGTTGCATCATGAGAAAGGGGTACAAAGAGGCGAGTGAGGGGCTGTGGCTGGCATCTGGGTAAACAAAGGAACCACCTATGTACAAGCCACTGCTTCGTCAAAATAAAAGTGCGGCCACTAAGAATTCCCTGTCCCCTCCCCAACTGCCCTTCTGTTCCTCCAGACACCCCGAAGTTGACAATCGAGGTCTATCCCAAAGAGACTGCTGTCATGGAGATGGACTCTGTGACCATGACATGCCAGGTCACCAGCAGCAATCCAGAATATAAGACTGTGTCCTGGTTCAAGGATGGGAACATCTTGAACGGACAGACGATGCTCACGTTAACTCTGCCCGAAGTGACAAAGGCCATGAGCGGGAGGTACCACTGCCAGGCTTCCAACGAAGAGGGCCAAGGGAAGTCGGAAGAAGTGACCCTCACGGTGCTGTGTGAGCCTCCTGGAAGCTGGCAGGGAGGCGGGAAATTAGGGGGGTTCTCAAGACACGATAAGAAGACTCTGGTGGCTGCCTGCCCAGATCAGAGGGCTCTGCTCACCTGCCTATTTGCCTCTGTGCCTTCTTCCAGTTCCTCCGGAACCTTCCAAGGTTCAGATCCCCCACTCTCCTGCTGAAGAAGGAAAATCAATAGAGCTGATTTGCATCTCACTGGCCAGTCCAAAAGCAACAAACTACACCTGGTATCATAATGGGAAAGAGATGCCCGGAAGCACACAAGAGAAGTTACATATCCCCAAAGTCTTCCTGTGGCATGCTGGGAATTACTCCTGCTTGGCCGAAAACTCTCTGGGATCTGGACAGATTGGCGAGGAAGTGGAGCTAGATGTCCAATGTGAGCCGCCGCATGAAAAGGACCTCGGGTTCTTAGAGGAAAGAGTGAAATGGGGAAGAAGGAAGGCAGAGAGTGGGCAGGGGATCCTGGGGGTGGGAGGAGCAAGCAATCAAGAATATGTTAACTTTACAGCTACATTCAAGATTTCCACACCAGGACCAGGGTGGGTGCTCAGTAGATGTTTGTTGAATGAATGAATGTCACCAGCCTGGTGGCCCAGGCCTGTCATCCCAGCTACTGAGAAAACTTTGGGAGAAGGATCACAAGTACAAGGCATGGCAGGGAGGGGGTGTGGGGGCTGATTGAGAGCGAGTTCAAGGCTAGCCCGGACGACTTAGTGAGATTCTCTCAAAAAGTAAAAAAGAGGGTCAGGAATGAAGCTCAATGACAGTGTTATCCTACAATGTACCAGTGAGGGGCTGGGGACATGGATCAATGGCCAAATACCTGCCTAGAATCCCCCAGTGAGGGGCTGGGGACATGGCTCAGTGGTAGAGCACCTGCCTAGAATCTTCCAGTGAGGGGCTAGGAGTGTGCCTCAGTGGTAGAGCACCTGCCTAGAATCCCCCAGTGAAGGGGTCGGGGTGTGACTCAGTGGTAGAGGCCCTGCCTAGAATCCCCCAGTAAGGGACTGGGAGTGTGGCTCAGTGGCAGAGGGCTTGCTTAGCATATATGAAGCTCTGGGTTCTATCCCCAGAGCTGCATAAATAAGCCAAACTAGCAGCACATGCCTGCAACCCCAGGACTTGAGAGGTGGAGGCAGGAGTCTCAGAAGTTCAAGATCATTCTTGGCTACGTAGCAAGTTTGCTGTCAGCGTGGACAGCCTGAGAGCCTGCCTCATGCTGGGGCTTCACCAGGGACATGGAGATGTGTTACTAGGCAGCAGCTGAGGCCCTGAAGAAATCCTCAAAGTTTTGCAGACTGGAATGAATGTCTCATGATTTCACCCTTACTGATCCTCCTTAACACAGTGACTCTCGTTATTGAGTCACTCCCAGGACAGAGAATCCATGGGCTTCATGCTTGGATGCTGAGTGACATGTGTATGGCCAAGGATGTCCTGTTGGATACAGAATAGCTGCAGTGATGTTTATTGTTTATCACATGCCATCTGCTGCTTTAATCCCCATCTGGGGGATTCCAGAACGTTAGGTGCTCTTGGTGCCCATTTGACAGATCAGTAGACTGAGGCCTGCAGCCCATAGTCACACAGGTTTAGATGCGGCAGGCCCTGACAATGTGCTTCATAGATGCAACAGGGAAGCAGGTTTCATTCAGGAACAGTGTGAACATGGAGCACAGGAAGGTAAAGTTTTCCTGAAAAGCAGCCTTGCAACTGGGTCTAGTGGTGGAAGCTTACAGTCCCAGCTGCTCAGGAAGTTAAGATGGGAGAATCACAAGTCCAAGACCTGCCAGAGTTACAGAGCTAGTTCAAGGCCAGCTTGGGTAACTTAGCAAGACCCTGACTCAAAAATAAAAGTTTTTTTTTTTTTTTTTTTTTTTTTTAAAAAAAAAAAAAAAAAAAAAAAAAAAAAGAGGACGATAAATCTTTCACAGAGCTAGAGTTGTAGCTCAGTAGGAGACCACTTAACTGGTATGTGTAAGGCCACAGGTTCAGTGTAAGGCCTGCCAAAGGAAAGAAAAGCAGCCTGTTTACCCACTCGTGTGCTCTCCTCTCAGATGCCCCCATGAACGTAACCACGGTGATTCAAAACTCCACACCAATCCGGGAAGGGGACAGTGTGACCCTGTTGTGTAGTTATACCTCCAGCAATCCAGCAGTTACTCGCTATGAGTGGAGCGTCTCGGGCTCCAGAAACGAGCCCACACCTGGAAGGGTGCTGAAGATTCAGAAAGTTGCCTGGAATGCCATACCCATTAGGTGTGCAGCCTGTAATCGCTGGTGTTCGTGGGCTACCCCTGTCAACCTGAACGTCCACTGTGAGTGACAGGGCAGGGGGACCTGGGAGGTGGCTTCACTGAAATATGGGGATTGAAGGGTGCAGAGAGGGGAACTTGAGCTACAGTCCACAAGAGAGGATTGAGGGAGAACAGCCAGGCCTTAGGGTTAAGGAGACATGAAGTCCTGGCCAATAGGACAGGAAGTACTGAACAGAAGGATGGGAAGTCCTGGTTAAGGGGACAGGAAGTCCTGGCCAATAGGACAGGAAGTACTGAACAGAAGGATGGGAAGTCCTGGTTAAGGGGACAGGAAGTCCCAGCCAATGGGATAGGAAGCACTGGACAAGGGGATAGGAAGTCATGGTCAAGGGGACAGAAAGTCCTGGCCAAGGGGACTGGAAGTTCTGAGGACAGTAAGAAGGGAAATAATACCAGTGGATCTGGCCTTGCAGATGCTCCCAGAGATGTGAATGTCCTGACGATCAGCCATCAGTCAGAGATCCATGCCGGGCAACATGTCCTCCTGCAATGTAACTTCTCAGCAAGCCACCCCAAAGAAGTTCACTTCTTCTGGAAGAAAAATGGAAGTTTCATGCAGGAAGGGAGAGACCTCAATTTCAATTCCATCTCCCCAGAAGATGCTGGAAATTACAACTGTGTGGTCAACAACTCCATCGGACAGACCTCGTCGCAGGACTCAAGGCTCCAAGTGCTGTGTGAGTTTGCTGCAGCTGGGGATTGAGCATGGGGAAGAGCAGGTGACAAGCCAGTCTGACTCAGTTTCCCTTTATAGATCCTCCTCGGAGGCTGCGTGTGTCCATTAGTCCAGGGGACAGAGTGATGGAGGGGAAGAAGGCAACCTTAACCTGTGAGAGCGAGGCTAACCCGCCTGTCTTGCAGTACACCTGGTTTGACCAGAATGACCAAGACCTCTACTACCCTGGCCAGAAGCTGAAACTGGAGCCCCTAAAGATTCAACACTCAGGCTCCTACCGCTGCCAGGGGACCAACAAGCTGGGCACGGGCATGTCGCCACCCAGCACCCTCACTGTCTACTGTAAGGCACTCCCCTCTGCTTTTGGGGTGCCCCCCTACTCTGGCCTGCCTACCCCAGAAGCTACCTCCCCAGGGCTATGGTCCCACTTCCTCTATTCTGTTCCTGAGGCCAACCCAGCCGGGGCACACTATCTGCTCAGCAGCTCCTAGATAGAAGGTTACCCTGTCCTGCTCTATAGGCCTATCCCCCTCCCTTCAGTCTCTCCTTTCCTCACAGGCTGCACCTACCTTCCAGGTACTCCCAGCTTCCTCCTGAGTCTCTCTCTTCTTCCCTCCCTCCATTCTTCCCTCCCTCCTCTCCTTCCCTCCCTTTCTCCCTTCCTTCCTCCTCCTTCCCTCTGTGTGTATGGCTTACTGTTGACAGATACGCTCCTTTTCTGGTTTTTGAGGCAGGGTCTCACTACAAAGCCCCGGCAGTCTTGAAACTCACTATGTAGACAAGTTTAGCCTCAAACTCACAAAGATCTGCCTGTCTCTTCCTTTGAGAGTTGGGATTAAAGGTGTATACCACCATACTCTGCAAGTTCTTTTTTTAAAGAGCGTTTCTTTTATCTTTTGAGATTTTAGTGTTTTAAATAAAATAATTCAAGCACATATTTTTAGAAATTGTTTTTAAGCACAAAAGGGAAGCTGGATGTGCATACTTGTTAGGCTAAGGTAGGAATATCACTTCGAGGTCAAGGTCTAAAAAAAAACTGTCTCAAAAACAAAACGAGTTGGGGCATGCTGGTACATACCTTTGATCTCAGCACTCCAGAGGCAGAGACAGGTGGATCTCTATGAGTTTGAGGCCAGCCTGGTCTACATAGCAAGTTCCAAGCCAGCTGGGGCTACAGGGAGACTTTATCTCAAAAACAAAATAAACAAGAACAACAACAATAAAGGAGAAGAGAGATGGCTCAGTGGTTAAGAGCATAGCTGCTCTTGCAGAGGACCCAGGTCGAATTCTCAACACCCACATGGCAGCTGACAACTGTCCGTAACTCCAGCTCCAGGGGAGTCTGGCCTCAGAGGGCATTGCACTACCTGGCACACAACATACATGCAGGTAACACATATAAAAACAATAAAATTAAAAATAAAAAAAATTTTAACAAAAGAAATAAAAACAACAAAATAGCTCCTCTCCATTCCCCCCAAACCCACTCTTCCTTTTTTTTTTTTTTTTTTTTTTTTAGTGTCTTTCTATGTACCCCAGGTTGGCCTTTGTACTCCAGGCAGTCCTGCCTCTGCCTCCCTGAGTTGGGATTATACTTGGGAGTGGCCACGCCCAGCCTGTGCCCCGTCTCTTTTCAAAGGGCTTCCCTGTGCACCCTGAATGAACCGCAGCTGCTCATCCCTTCTCCCTAGCACCCTCTTCAAGGTGGAGGTGTGCTGTCCCTTGCTTTGGGCAAGGCTGCAAAGACGGGTGCAGAACAAATTCCTGTGTGGAGCTGCCGGGTCTGCAGATGAGTGCATTTTAAGTTCTCGTAGTCTGGCCAAACTTCTTTGAGGGTTGCACATCAAGAAGAGTGAATGTAGTGGGCTCTGTGTGTGACCTGCCCGTGGAACAGCTCCTGCTGGGGGCTGAGACTTGGTCCTTGACTCTTGACAGAGCAGGGAGATAGGGACCAAGTCTCGATCTTGCTCTGTGTCACTCTCCTACTCATGGAAGAGCTGTGCAGGCAAGGAGGACCGGGATGCATGCCGGGAGGAGGGCAAGAGTGAGTCTGCTTTCTCCTTTCTCCACCAGACAGCCCGGAGACCATTGGCAAGCGTGTTGCCCTGGGACTAGGGTTCTTCCTGGCCATCTTCATCCTGACCACTTGGGGGGTGAAACTCCAGAGAAAGTGAGTGTTTCCGCTGCCCTGCCCCTACCTTCTCCCTCCCAATCCTCCCCGTGTTCTAGTCACTCAGTCTTGCAGCTTCCAACCTGTGGGATCATCCTGTGTTCCTTCACAAAGCGCTTGTTTCTTAGATGGAAGAGGACTCAGAGCCAGCAGGGGCTTCAGGAAAATTCCAGTGCTCAGAGCTTCTTTGTGAGGAATAAAAAGGTAGGATGGGTGGGTGGTGAGATGCAGGTGGTTCTTGAAGATCAGAGGGGAACAGCGGTGAAAAGGAGATGGGTGCTCTAGAGATGGGTGTACACATGGAATCTCAGCTCACACAAGGACAAGGCAGGATGGTCGGTGGCAAATTTGAGGTCAGCCTGGGCTTCATAGCAAAATCCTGTCTCAAAGGAAAAAGTCCCCTGGGGAGATATGGGGGGGTCAAAGGGCAGGAAAAGGAAACAGGAACATAGGGAGAGAGTCACAGCTGCAACCTGTCTCTTCCAGGCTAGAAGGACCCCTCTCTCGGAACGCCCCCAGTCCCTGGGATGCTACAATCCAGTGATGGATGACAGCGTTAACTACTCTATCTTGCGCTTTCCAGAGACTGACACACCCACCGCTGGGTATGGAGGGTACCAGAGGTTGGCACCTGCAGTCTGGAGGGTGAGGGAGGAAAGGCTCGTGTCTCCACCTGCCCTCTTTGTGTCAGGTCTGTGCCAGGCACTGCCATACACTCATTAATGAACTCATTCGTGTTCCATGACAATGTAAGTAGCAGGCTTCAGGGTAGGAACTCTTTAGTTCAGGAGTGAGTATCCAGACTCAGGCTGGTGTAACACACACACTTGTTCCATAAGCTTTTCCATCAGCTGCTACTATGCCTGGGCATGCAAATTTTCCAGATAATTTTCTGTAAGGTGCTGAGGTTAGGGTGCTGTGGGGGGACTAAGGAGTTTGTTGAAGAAGCTCATGTGTAGCTGCCCTTCTGTTCTCCCTCAGAGATGCAAGGACCTCAGCCACCCAGGGACCCCTTCCAAACAATGACACGGTTACTTATTCAGTGCTGCAGAAGCGTCAAATGGTAAGAGACCAGAACTATGGAAGGCATGGGGACCTGGGTCCTGGCCTCGACTAAGAGTCCATATGAGACATACTTGGTAAACACTCTGGTGGGTAAGGCAGGACATTGGTTGGAGAAGGTCACTGTCTGAAGTCATTATCTGTTCCTATAGTTTAATACCTGATCCTGGGTGATTTATAAAGAAAGGAAGTTTATTTTGGCTCATGGTTAGTTCTGGAAATCCAGAGTCAAGAGGCTGTATCTGGTGGTGGGGAATCTGCAGAATCCTGAGGTGACATCAAGCATTCTGTGGCCAGGGAGTATATGACAGAGAATTCAATTCCTTAACAAAGTCACTTCCTGGAGAACCTATTAATCCACCAATCCAGTCACCTCCCACAGGCCCCACCTCTTATGATCAATAACATGTATACCTGGGAGTTAAGTTTCCAATGCAGGAAACTTGGGGGACACATTTAGACCATAGCAGTTGCGCAGGCAGAACTGGGGTGACGGCCAGGATGGGTAGTGTCTAAGGGTGGAACATAGCCATTCCTGGACAAGATGTCCCTACTTGGATATTCCAGCCCCACCCCAGGAGGAATCAAGGAGAAAATGCTGGAAAGTGCGAGGAAGGAGGCTGGTCACCACCAGGCCCATCTGACTTTCTTGTGGCATTCACAGGGTGACTACGAGAATGTGACTCCAAACAGCCCAGAGGATGAGGGCATCCATTACTCGGAGCTGGTTCGGTTTGGGGCTGGGGAGCGGCCTCAGGTGAAGGAAAATGTAGAATACGTGACCCTCAAGCAGTGACCTTGGAAGCAGCCGCGGTGGAAGGTTCTGGAAGCTGAAGGAAGACACACAACTTCTCTGGCTACTGCTACTCCTCAGCTGCTAAGTTACAGACAGCTTCCTAGACACACATGTTTGTGCATACACACATGCAACATGCGTGTGCACACACACAATCACTTAAAAAACCTCATGGCTGGCCCAGAGTCAGCCAGCCTTCTGTGCACTGGAAACTGTCACCCTACACCATATGATGTCCCCTGTCCCAACTGCAGCCATCTGTCGCCATCCACCTCTTGTCTTACTTCAGTTAGATGTGTCCCTGCTGGGACTGGCTGAGATTGGCAAGGATTATCACTATTTTTTTCACTTCTGTGCCCCTTTATCGTCCCACCCCCACTCACTAATCTTATACCCAATTTCTGACCCTGGGGGGAAATTCCTAGGAAGGGCAGAAATGAGGTAGAAAGAAACAGTGCCCCAAGCTGACTTGTCCTCTACAAACATGTCTAAGAGTAAGATGGGGCTTCCATGGAGAGGCTATATGGTGGCACCTTCCCTCAGGGGTCCCCAGCACTGAGCATGCATGCTGACATGAATGAACGTAATGTATTAAATGCTGAACAATAAAAAATGGCATAGATGCCATGTTTGAATGCCAACAAACTCTTTCCTGTTGCTGCTTGGTGGAGCTAGACTGGAGACCTGGAGATAGGAATGGCTTTTGGGGGCTTGGGAGATGGGAAGGGTCTCCTGGTAATCTCAGGATCAATCCTCAAAAAAGGAGGGTACCATTGTCCTGCAGTGCTGGTATTGAACATGGGGCCTTGTACATGCCAGGCCAGTACCCTAGAGCCATGCCTGCCCAGCCCCTTATTGGAGGATTCTCAAAATGCAACTTAATATTCCTATCTTTTATATTTCTTGAAGAATGACTAAAAGAAAAAGAGCCAGGTATCAACACATGACTGTAATTCCAGGACTGGGAAGACTGAGAAGGAAGTTCATGACCAGCCCGGCTACGTAGTGAACCCAGTCTCAAAAACAGCAACAAAGAAACAAAGGGAATGAGCTTCATTCCACACAGCTACTCGCAGTAGAACTCCCAGTTCAGGGTCTCCAGACAAAGTGCACACTTCTCCCATCTTTCATGGCCATCCCCACCGGCTCTCTATTAGGTCCTCTGATTCAGACTTTCCAGTTAGGGGGTCTCAGTCCCACCACCACCCCATTCACCTGCTCAGCCTAGACAGCAAGAATCTGTGCTTAACCAACCACCAAAGTGAGGGAGGTACAACTCCCGGCACACTTCCCCGGAAGTGCCCTCTTCTTTCCGTCCTCCCTTCCCATCTCTGCTCAGTTCCAGCATGATCATTTTGGGATTATGGCAGAACAAGCCACTGTGTTCTAGTTTGCTTTCTGCTGCTGTGACCAACACCATGACCAAAATAACTTTGGAGGAAAAGGTTTATTTGGCTTATAGGTTATAGTCCGACACCAAGGAAGCCAAGGAAGGAATTCAAGGCAGGAACTGAAGCAGGGACCATGGAGGAATGCTGCTTACTGGCTTGCCCCCTCCGGTTTGCTTAGCTATCTTTCTTTTTTTGTTTTAATTTATTTTATTTTATTTTTTAAACAAAAAATATTTTATTTATTATTTTTATGTGTATGCGTGTATTGCCTGCATATAGGTAAGTGCACCCGT